AGTCTCGACCTTGATAGCCCCGGCGTATGCTTTTATAAAGGCATCTGCAAGCATAGCAAACGAATCAATAGAATTTGGAGGTAAGTTGTGATACCATATCATTGCTCCCTTTGACAGGGTTTCTCCGAACGTTTTTAGCAAAGTCGACTCGATTTCATCATCTTCTAAGTCGTTTCCCTTGATGGCACACGTGTAGGAGGTCACATGCTCATTTGGATCCGAGGTTCCATTATACTTCGAAATATCGGGTATATGGAACTTCTTCGGGATTGGCTTCGGTGTTGCGCTCGGATGGAAAGATTTTTGGACAAATTTCTTAGAGTCCAGGACTTTCAATATTGGGGACACTCCTGGGATTTGATCAGCTTTGGAGTTATAGGTCTCCACTTTCTTGTCGTTGGCCTCAATTTTCTTCTCCCCCGATCCCACCCGATATGTCAGATCCTCAAGTATATTTATTATTTCAGGGTTGGTCCTGGGCTCAGCCTCACCCGGCCTTTCCGAGACTTGCTCATTCCTTCGGTTGTTTTCCCGAGATTGTTCGGGCTCAAATCTGCTGGGGCACGACTTTGGTTCTGCAGCTGTGCTATCGCCGCCTATTTGGCTTGTAATATTTCGAAGATCACCCGTAGATTGATCCTGTCGCCTTCACCTTCGGGCGTACCTCGAGACGTCGGTCGGGCTCCCCCTGCAAACGTTGTTCTCACGGTCGGTAGACAGGTTGGCGTCGATGGCCACATGCGATTGGGTCTACAACTCGGACTCCGTTAGGATCAGCAGGAGGCACCTCGTTGCTAGGTGCTATATTGTTGTTTTCGCCATGATGTCCAGACTCAACATCAACTTTGAAGTGAGTAGACTTAGAGTTTGACATCCTTAGATGGATCTGAAATTAAAATCTCAAAGAACAAGCGTAAAATATAGTGTGTTATGGAAATTTGTATCAAATCACCACTATTATCCTTAGCCCCATGGTGGACGCCAAACTGTTTACCCTTAAAAATGGATAACAATTGAATTTACACGCGATTTTAAGGATATGTGGGTTAATTCAATACAAATAATTTATGACGTTAGATAAGCAAATAAAAGACAGAATAAATAGCGGAACCAATGATGATAGTTTGTCCGGGCTCGGTTAGAAGCTTAACAAGAAACCTGTCTTCGGTTCCGCGCCAACACTTATGAGGAGCTTATGAACAAGAGCAAGAACTTTGAATAACTTTTAGAAACAGAGAAAACAGATGTATATTGCCTTGGTATACGTGTTACAAAATCTGTATTGAATAATAAGCCTCCCCTTTATATATTCGGGGACTTTCACGCTAAGTATAATTCTAAGAAAGGTAATGATCTTCCTTTTCGCAGATCACTGATCAACTGCTGATACGGGCCGAGATTCACGCTGTGATATTTGGTCGGTCACGGATATTACGGTCCTTTGTTAATCGTGTGCGGACATTTGGCAATGCTCTTCCGAGGTCTCGTTATTCGTATCGGGTCCGGAGGCATGGTCTCGATGGCTCCAGGGGCAGGTGTTTTATCCGGACTTTGATACGGGCGGCTCCCGGCTTCAATTTCGATTCCATGCAGTTATGCCCTTACTTCGTTCGCCCTACCGGAAAATCGGGGTACTCATTACCCCGGTTTTACCCGTATACACATTCAATTGCCAATATTTTTTTATACGTAATTACAACAAGCATTTATGGAAAGGGGACATGATGAATTCAGGCTAGCTAAAACACTATATTGTACCAAATGGCCAAATGTATTTTTGATGTCTCTAGGCGTAATATGTACATTTCCCATCCAAAAGTGGCTATTTGGAGTCAAAATCATAACGTAAATTTGACGTAAATAGGGATAACTCGAGGTTGGATCCTTTTGGGTAGTCCATATTGCAAAGCTACCTGATTAACATCCTCTCTTAAAGTAAATTAAAAAGTTAACTGCCCAATTTATTTGGGGTCGTTTAATAGGATGTATATTGGGGTAAATAATACATAGCTTTGTTATTATTAATTCTTTGTTTGGCACTGTATTTTTTAACTTATTGTATAGGGTGAAATATCATATGACACGTGGTCATCTAAAGGAAAGACACGTGGAACCCAAGACGGGGATGGCCGAAAACCGAACGCAGTCGTTCCGTTTGTCATAAGAAGGGATAACGTTCATAAATGTGTATTTAATGCTCTGCACCCGGTAGTATTTAATAAGGAATATTCTACAACATTAAGAGCGACGGCCCGTTACAGAAAATTTGGCATTTATGTTCACCGTTACATCTTCATCAATGATCCTCATAATTGACATTAAAGGAGGACACGATACTATGACCTCCTTCCCTAGACACATCTATAAATAGTGAGCTCAATTATCATTGTAAATGACATGAATTTTCTGGCTAAACTTATACTACACCATTTTAATTTGTATGTTGTTGTACCATACATTATTCTTTTCTTATTCGATTTGTTAAAGAAAGAAAAGTAGAAAATGAATTCCAAATTGACTCATGTGCACTCATTCATGTTTGTTTAAACCGAAAAACATGAATATTGTAGCAGGAATATTCCAAATTGACTTATGTGCACATATTCACGACGTACACGTTTCAACCCTCAAAGTTAATTGACTATAAACTTTAAATCTGATTGAACTGGAAACTATTTGTGAAAAGTAAAGTCCGTAAGAAAATAAAAGCGATTTCACCAATTAGATTTTTGGTCATATGATACAACAATTTTTTATACAATAGTTAAGATAAGAATTAAAATAACTTCACGGCTGCAATCAAAATATCTCCGATGACACATCAAAAGGGTCTATACTTGGACGTACTAATGTACCTAAGTTCACAAGGTTAATTAACAGAATGGAGAGTATTGGGATGTTGATCAATTCCCGACAATTATTAGTAAAATAGGTGAGACTGCAACACAGTCGAGAGACTACATTACAATTGATACAATTAGGGGTGTTCATAAAAACTCGAAAAATCGAACCAAACCGAAAACCAAACTAAACTGACCAAAAAACCCCGATACTTTTTAGGTTTGGTTTGGTTTTGGTTTTAAATTTTAAAAACCGGTCGAATTTGGTTTGGTTTTGGTTTTAATCAAAAAATAATTGAAAAAATCCGAACCAAACCGACTATAGAAGTACCTATTTAAATTTATTATTTCACCTATATATATGTATGTTTTTATATAAAGTTTCTAAAATTTTATGGTACATATTAGTCGTTTATATTTTAGCCTAGTTTTTTTCTATTATAATAATTTAATTCTTTACCTTTACATTCTAGTTTGATTGGTAGTTTTCTTTTTTGCTAAGTACAAGAATTTATTTCATGTTAAAAATAATCGATTTTTAATTGAGTACTTAAATTATTCATCACTAATTGATTCAATTATCATCAACATATCTTGGTAAATGATAGATTTCTCAAAGAGCAATTAGTTTGATAGTGTTACGTTGAAAATGTAGTCTCCGAAATATGTGTTTGGTAGTATATGTCTCATATTTAAGAAAAAATCTGATAAATAACCGAAAAAATGAAAAACCATCCAAAACCGACAAAAATCGAATCGATAAAAAACCGACTTAGAGGGTGTTTGGCTAAACTTATAAGCCAGTCAAACTGGCTTATAAGCACGTTTTGGCTTTTCTACGTATTTGGTACACATCCGAAGTGCTTATAAACCAAGTGCTTATAAGTTAAAATCAGTCATAAGCCATAAGTTGGTCACCCCCAACTTATGACTTTTCTTTGACCAAGACTTTTACTACTTTATACTTAATAATATTTTTTAATTTACAAAATATTTTTCTCAAAATAACTTTTTTAATTTTCTCTTCATTCCATATTCGTTATTTATCATTTTCTCTACAAAGAAACTTTTTAATTCATATTTTTTTGTAAACACTTTAAGAGTATTTTAGTCTTTTTAGCAAGAGAACAGCTTATCAGCACTTTTCTATCAAACATATCAACTGCTTATTATCAGTTTCGGCACGTCTATCCAAACACGTAAATGCTTATTTTAAAAATCAATTTCAGCACTTAAAAATATTTTTCAGCACTTCAAGCTTGTCAGCTATTTATAATCAGCTAATCCAAACGGGCTCTTAATTGATTTGGTTTGGTTTTAATATTTGAATAACTGACTTAGTTGGTTTGATTTTTTTTAGGGAAAAATCGAATTGAACCGAACCATGAACACCCTAGATGCAATCTTGATTTTGTACTGCAAACGTAGCTATTAACTACATAGATTATTAGCCACCTCAGCAAAAATATTGATACAAAGATCATTCCCATTCTAGTAATGAATTTGGAACGAAAAGCTGACTCAGTAGCGTCCCAACCGCTAGTATCCTTACTGAAAGGGGAGTGGAGAGAAAGTAGGAAAATGATATAACTAAATCCCCTAATTTAAGACACTAATAATAGATTGTATATAATTTATAAGTAATTTTTGTTTAGGGTAAATAATATACAAAATTAATATAATTTTAGTAAATAAGTTTCAAATATTGTATAGGAATAAAAAAAATTCTAAATTGAAAATTTAATAACATACGTGTGTTTGGTATGAAGGAAAATGTTTTCCATGAAAAATATTTTTTATGAAACATGAGTGAGTTTATCACTTATTTTCCCTTGTTGGTTGGTGGGTAAACACATTTTTCCGGAAAATACTCTTTTTGTTTCAATAAAAGAAAATACTTTTTACTAAATCATTTTATTGAAATCAAAAAAAATATTTTTTCTATATCATGAAAAGAAAGTATTTTTTTTGTTAAAATAAAAAAATAAATAATTATATCGTAAAAAGAAAATACTCATTTGTTGAAATAAAAAAAATACTAGAAAAGAAAATACTATTAACAATATTTCTATTTAGGGTGGGGTGGAATTGGGGTGGGTGAAGTTGGGGTGTAGGGGTGAGTTGGCAGGGGTTGGTGGGGATGGGGAATGAGAGGAAGATAGGAAAAGAATTTTGAAATTCCAATTGAAGAAAAATAAGTTTATCATTAAAATGTTTTACAAAGTATTTAATCCAACAAAACGCGGAAAAATTGGCGGGAAAATGTTTTTCTTCCTCCCAAACAATTAGCTCGGAATTATGTAAACTGTAGCTGGGGAAGTTTAGCTGAAATATACATAGTTTTTTTTTAAGCGGGAATAGTAATTTAGCACTAAAAAATTTTAAAAACTTTCTTTGGTTGGATCTGTGTTTTTCATGTTAAAAGCCCTTCCGTCAAAAATCAGCCAGGAAGTGAGTTTTTCACTTTTAACTTCTCGTTTTCACTAGCCGATGGTTGTTTTGACGCGTATGCTATTTTTTGTTTGTTTTTAGTTTATTAAAGAATGAATTTCTCGTCTCTCCTTGTCTCTGCAAAAGGAAGACTCATTAAATTTGTCAAAACGAGAGATGGTGAGTGTTAAATGGGTTGTTAGAATTGCAGCTCAGTTGTTCGATAAACCGCCGCAGCTAACAATATATTTGGGTGAACATAAATCTTACCTTGGGTTGCCAGTGTTATTGATATGTTGGTTCTGACTAAGACTCCGACTTTTTCCTTATTTCAGCTTGGTTTATAGAGATAGTCTCAGCGAAAGAGGAATCATTTAATTTGATAAAACTTAGAGATAATGGTGTTAAATGCATTGTCAGAATTGCATCCCAGTTGTTTGATAAAACGCCACAGAGAATAATATATTTGGTTGAAGTGAAATCTGACCGTTGGTTGCGGGTGTTATTGATACGTTGCTTCTGACCTTCTGTTCTACTAAAAATGTACTATGATTCTTACCGTTCCGAAAAAAATCTGAATGATTTCATGTCTTTTCTTATTTCAATTTGGTCTTAGAGATTGTCTCTGCAAAAAGGAAGACGCATTAAATTTGATTAAACTAGAGATAGTTGGTGTTAAATGAGTTGTTTGGATTGCATCCAGTTGCTTGATAAAAAGTCGGAGCGAACAATATGTTTTGGTTGAAGTGAAATCTATGGTTGCAGATGTTATTGATCTGTTGGTTGTGTTCTACTAAATCAGAATGATCTTCTTTCCTTATTTCAGCTCGCCTATAGTGATTACTTACATGCTCCCGTACATGTGATTTACTTTATGCTCTTATCTTAATTACCTATAACAGATGCACATTAGTATTGACGAGTAAAGTAAATTAGTTGGAACTTAACAACATTATATTTATTCCTATTGAAGCAGGTTGGACATATTTTTTGTCTTTTGATTCTATTCCCAGGTTTTACAAAAGGGGGAGCTTCCTATATTGTAGAAATGCATTGCAGAAGACGCAAAGATGGTGTCAAGTCAATTAGTAACCCAAAGAAGGTGTTTATGGAAGATAAAAAGGCTTCAGCTCCATTTATGTGGAGATGGCTGGAGTTCGGAAAGTAACTCAAAAGTGGTTTCTGCTGAGTTCTAGGGTACTGGTAGTTGATTTACTCAGAGAATGTTTATCCGAAGTAGTTAATGGTGATAGCCTGACGAGAATGTTTTATCAGAAAGAATTATTTAGTAAATATGGACACTAGAAGTTTATTTATTCTGGAAGATAATGTTTTTGTATGATGGTTGACGGTTAAAATTTCAGGTTTTGATGGCGGAAACATTGTCCTCGTAGTAGCTCTGAACTTAGCTCCCGGAGGTATGTCATTTTTCTGTCACCTTTACTTACATTTTGTTGAGTCATGCTGCTATGGTTTAGGTAATTCCTTTATCTCATTTTATATGACTTGTCTAGTCTAGCAACAGATTATCTAGAATCACGAATTATATAGCAAATGTCGTGAAGTTATTTCAATGTCAAGAATCATGATCATTTATTTTTGTTTTTCTTTTGCACCCTGGGATCACTCATCAGAAGGAGAACCACTATGATCCACTTCCTTCAGATCTTGATACTTGTAAAACCAAGCACATGTTACATAGTAACCAAAGTTCAATACTCCCCCCACAACCAATACCCAATACACATTGTCCAGCCTTCCCGTATTTATGTTACCTGGTAACCATGTAGTTGTCTTTCTAACAACATCAATTAGAGCAGTAGCCAAGTAAAATGCTATACCAACGAGCACCGAAATCATAGCGGTTGCCATGTTCTTTAAGGTTGTTGGGAATTCTTGGTAGTACAATGCTACTTGTCCAGGATAATGGAATGCCTCTGCAATGCCAACAATGGCTAACTGGGGTACTAGCCATAACACTGACATAGGCACAATATTAGAACCTTGATCAACGTTGTTGGATTTTGCTACCTTTAGCCTCTTTGACTCCACTAAGGCCGAGACACCCATCCCCAGAGCATTGAGCACATGCCCAATCCCAATTCTCTGGAGAGGAGTTAGGGATTTGCTGGTCAATTTCTTCCATGCAGGAAAGAGAAACTTGTCTAACAGAGCGAGGAATATAGCAGTAGAGATCAGGACAAAGACGAGTATGGAACCAGCTGGGATTTGGAAATGGGGTCCTATATGACGGTCCATTGCCAAGGCTTGAAGTACTGACAAACTTGCTTGTACGCCAATTGATGTTCCAAGAAAGAAACTACTTGACCATAGTGGTAAGATTCTTATTAAGGATTTGAAATCCTCTACTTCTTGTACTGAACAAAGACTCCATGACTTAGCTGTTGAACCATCTGGTTTAATATCACCTTCACTTTCAATGGCCGCATGGTTCAAGAACCTGCAGCATCATGAGCAACTTCAATTCTATATGAAAGTAACTGCACATGTGCCTGGCATATGCATCAATAGAGTATATGTTGAACCCCTCTCAACCCAAAACCTTAATGCAATTAATGAGTGGAGTACCTCAGGACCATTTAAACACCTTTAGAAACTCTTAACTCCTCACCTATGAAGAACGATTGTATTCTCAATAAGTACAATTTACTTGCCAATAATTCACCACTGAGATAATATAGAAAATACGAATGATGCAAATAAAGCATAAGAATGAAGAGCATAGGAGTACGAGTCCTGCTCCTTTTTTTATGTGTTAATTTTTTCCACGTAAACACAAATAGTCTTAGCTACAGGCAGTAAGTTCTGCCGAATCGCTTGCGTCTAGTCTAGATTCGGTGGATGTCCCAAGTTCTAAGTGAAGACACAGCAAACACCTAGAGCGAGATGTTACAAAATTACCTGCAGTTTTTCGAGGGCGCAACAGAGTGACTTTCCCATCCATGGTAGAAATACTCGCCAGTCGATGGGAGTGGCACTTTTCTTTTCCTAATACTTGCAACCACAACGCGAGCCAAACTGGTGAACGGACTACCTCCTGGCTTAGAGTTGGAGTAAAATCTGCTCCCCATTAGGAAAATGACTAAAGCAAGAACGTTGGTAGCTACACAAATGAAAAATCCCACTTTCCAGCTCACATTATCTTCAACGTAGACTATAGCTGTTGATGCTACTACAGAAGCAGCATACCAAAAGAAGAAGAACCAGTTGAAGAAAATCCCCTGATCCTTTGGCTTATCTAGTTGGTCGGCTCCCATCGTTGAAAGGGTTGATCGGGTACCACCACTCCCCAAAGTTGCTAGAATTATGGCTGCATATAGTACTACATATTGAACTCTTGGTTTAGGGCTACATGAGGTTGAGTCAACTTCACAGGGTTTAGGCCTCAAAGAATCAAGTGTCGCTGTTAAAGCTAAAAAGATTGTGCCCTACAAATAGGAACAATAATAGAAATCTTGAGAATGGGTAAAATGGTAGAACGTTCATTAATATATGTCTTTACAGTTATTTATACACCCTTCAAGAGCCTGTTTGACTTAACTGATTAAAATTAGCTAATAAGCATCAACTGCAGTACTAAAATTACTTAAATACATGGAAAAGAAAACATAGCATAAATATGGAATGGAGAGGGAGTTTGAAGTTTTGTTGTGCGAAGAGTGTTTTGAGGGTTAAAAAAGAGTACTAGGGAAAAAAAAGTTCTAGCTCAATCAAAAATGCTTATAAGCTGAAAAATTATAAGTTAGAAGTTACCTAACTTATATATTTTGGATGATTTGCCTCATAATAAGCTTGACTAGTAAACATTTTTTGTGTTAATTTACCAAATGTACAAATCAGCCAAAATAGTGTTTATAAATTGATTTGACCAACAATAAGCTTACCCAAATTATAGTAACTTCTTTTTCTATATTCTCGTTAGTTTTCTTTTAAATATCTAATTCTAATTGGAGCAGTAAGGGGTGATAGTTGAAAAGGATGCAGTTATTACACCCGTTATAATTTAAATACTAATGCATCAATCAATCAAACAACAAAATTGTAGGTACCGACAAAATAGTGATATACTACTTACCAATAATGAGATGATGGATGAAATCCAAATGGTAGAGAAGCAACCAAGAAATGAGTCGGCAATAATAGCAGCAAGGACGGGAATCAAACTTCCAGCGCCATTAACCAGATTTGATATCTGAGCTGCATCTATGCTCTCCACTTCAAATTCCTCTATCAGATATACTATAAGGTTGCTTTGCCAACCCGCAAATGTTAAGGTCAAGCCCACTGAGGTCGCTGTTTTTATCATGGAAGTGAAAAGTCAAGTTGAATATCGTGTTAGTACGATCAATTAGCTAATACGCTGATATTATAAAAAGAATTTTAGGCAGACAACTTACTATAACATGTTAAATCTTTATATTACACCATTCACATGGATGGATCACTCCATCAAATGAAATAAAAATACGTTTAATTGTATTCAGCTATTTGAGTAATGGCTCCCTCACTGATGAACAAAACAGAAAAAGTGGGGAAGAAAAAAGTAATGACTCAATTAAAAGGCCAAAGATGTATATATGATCTGTCTGGATTTGCTATTGGAAGACTTACAAACCAAGTTGACCAGTCTTTATCATCTTCCTTCAGTATTTTGCAGTAATCTTTGAGTATGTGAGGAATCAGCTATATTTGTGCATTATCTAGCAAAACTCGGGCAAAATCCAACACATATACTGAAGTATTTTAGAATGTCAGTGCTAAGTTGTATTGTTGAGATGAAGAGATCTCATTCATCCCACTGTATCCCTTGGTGGTCATATTCATATTACACTCAATTATTATTAAACTATCACCTGTACCTGGACATGAGAATTGATATAAACATGAAATGTTGGTATATAGTTGTTAGTGGAGAGAGAGAGAGAGAGAGAGAGAGAGNTATATATATATATAAAAAAAAATTAATACTTATTTTATATAAGATTTGTTATATAAAATATTAATTAAACAAAAACAGGTTGTTGGAAACTTATTATGTGAAATCCAATTGAAATTTGGATTCACGTATAAAGTCCACAAAGGACTACGGCATACACGTAAATCCCATTAGGAATGGGATATACGTTTTCCATTAGAAAACCTTTATAGTATTTAATTTGGAATTGAACTTATGGAAGGTATATAAAGTATCTTCGACGGTCACGTTAACGTGATTTTTCGATTTTTCCATAAAATTTATTTTTGAAGTAAACTTTTAGCCTAGGTACCTCAACCAAATAGGAAAAAGGTTTATAGGTGATGTTATATGAAGGGTGATGGAGAAAATTTACCATAATATTGTTTTTGAGAAGAAAATCACTCTGTGAAAGTGAGAGTACAATACAAAGCCAAGAGAGAAAATACAATTACAAAAAAAGTGTTTTCTTGTTCTTCTATCTTTGAAGTTGAGATTTTTGAGAAAACTTTCAACACAATATTTCATTCAATTTGTTCGCGGGTTTCATTAATCAAAGAGTTGATAGCAAGCATCAGTCTCGGTGTGGATACGCATAGAGTCTTCGCACTATCGAAGAAATATTTGACACGAGACTCTCTTCACCAGGTACGTGTTAGATCCGATCTTTGATGTATAAATAAATTTTAAACACGTAAAGATCTGCCTAGAATTGTTATTGTCTTCCACTGCGTGTTACGAACATCTATATGCAATCCTACGTCACATTCGTGTTTGAGGATTTAGGATCCATTATAGGAGCATGATTTTGTGGAAATTAACCACAAAAACCAAAATACTAAGCATTTCCTCTTGCAGTGCAATATGAAAGAATTTAGCTATACACATTTGTGATAGTAGGTGGTTATCATTTCCCCAAATTATTAAAAATATTTATTATAGAAATTTAACCAGTTTGAATTAAATACTAATTACCAGAATTTTTTATTTAATAAATATTTTTAACTAAGACCGTGAATGTTGCCCTGGTTTGAAGAAAGCATTAAGCTCATGATGACGATCTAGGAAACTTTATTGGCCTTCAAGATCTCTAATAATATCACTTTCATGCACGTTGTGTTGTTTCATAAGAGTATTTGTTCTTTTCCAATACATACAACGATGCAATCCATTCATTATGCCACATTCTGATAAATTTGGTGAGTGGTAATGAAGGCTTATCTTGGAATATTTCTGATAAAGTAAGCATTTACGACGAGGAATGATGAATTCAAGACTGAAAAAGTTTGTTGAAGTTGAGGCGACAACGCACAAACTGATCACAAAACTACTGACCAATAAATTTGGAGAGTGTAGGTAGTGTAATCTTGAAAGAAAAATAATAAAATTTTCTTAATTTGTTAAAATACACAAGTAATTAAAAAGAGAAATATATTTTAGTAAAAAGGAAACGGGGGGAGGGAGTATATGTTAATTGTCTCTTGCTTAATGTTTACGTCTCCATCCTAAGTTGCTTATAATAATATGTAGGATTTAAGTTAGGGATATACACCGTTGGTATAAAGAGGTTTTTTTTACATGTAGAGTCGGAGACATAGTTTAACCAATTATGTCTGATTATTTACCTACGAAAATGGTTATGGGATTGAGTAAAAATTATATATTTGAGTTTGTCAGGTTATGGGTAATAACTTTCTTTGAAAATTTTCGGATTCGGGCACGTGGGCCCGGGGGTAAATTTTTAGAAACTTTCAATTTGGGTTGAGTAATTACTCTAATAGTTAAATAATGAACTTTGGAGCATATATTGATTAATTTATATAACATTTGACTAGTTCCGAATTTTTCGGCACCGAGTTGAGGTTTTAGAGCGAATTTGAGGCCGGAAAGCGATCTTTGAGACAAGGTAAGTCTCTTGTCCAACCTTGTTAAAGGGGATTTACCCCATATGTGCTTTAAATTGCTAATTGATTCTAATTGTGGTGGCTACGTACGCATGAAGTAATGAGAGTCAGTGCGTAGCTACTAATAATGCTTATGTCCGGGTAGTTTAGGACCTGAATCATAAAATATTTATAATGTTTGCACCCTACTTGTTAATTAAAGTTCCTAAATTATATTGGAACTGCTTAGAGGAATTGTAAATGACCGAATTTCAATCACTTGAGTTCTGGCGGGTTACTTGACCATTAATGAAAATTGTGTTTCGTTGTACATTAGCCTTGTATTAGCTCTTGAATCGTTTTTTTTTATAAAGTATCCTCTATTCTTGTGGAGCGGGCCAAAAGCCTCAGCAGTAGATAGATGCATCTATGGTTCGTGCCGCTCGACCCTCGACAGTGTACACATTATTCTCGATTGGGTCGTACGACCTCGACATAATCGTGCGTAACAACACTCGAAGTGTAAACATATTTGATATCCTTCCCTGGCTTGAGAGGCAAAATTATATAAGATGGAAATCTATTTGGAGCTTACCATATGTGAAAGAATTATTTACTTTCTGCTTGTCATTGAGTTATTGTTATTATTTACATAACTCGCGCTCATTTAGAATTCTGTATTTCTTTCCTATTAGCCCATAGTAAGTGTCGATGTTGATCCATCGTCACTACTTCTTCAAGGTTAGACTTGATACTTACTGGTACATGTTGTTTATGTACTCACGCTACACTTCTGCACTAACCATGCAGGATCTGAGGCAGGTGCATCTGGCGGTCCTACCGGCGCGCATCCCAGATATCTCGAGGCCTAGTGGTGAGCTGCTTCCTGAGACGTTCTACAGCCCCTAGAGTCTCTCTTTTGTATTTATATTCTGTCTACTTTATTTCGGAAAATAGTTAGAGTTTTGTATATTCTACTAATTGCTCATACACTTATGACACTAGGTCTTGGCACACACACTAGTAGACTTTATGATTTTGGAGTACTTATATCATCATGATTGCCATTTAGCTATCTTCATTTCAGTTATTAAATTTTCCACTCCTTAATTTATTATTAAATAGAATTTAATTACTTGAAAAACTTATTAAAAAAGAAATAACATGGTTTAGTTCACCGTTGGCTTGCCTAGCGACGACGTTGGGCGACATCATGGCCTATAAAGGAAATTGGGTTGTGACAGTTGGATTCTAAAATTAAAAACAAGCAAAATAATAAGAAAGCAAAGGGGTCGTCTGGTCTCATATCTAAAGTTGGGCCACAATTGTCAATGGCCCAACCACCTTAAATGCCTACCTAGAATTTTGGCTGACCCGGTCCAACGACGTAGTTTCACACATAAACTACATCGTTTCCTTACCTTCACACACTAAATGACCAAACCTCTCCCCATTTTCATAATTGATCTTTCCCCCTCATATCCAAACCCTAGCCGCCCCTCCATCCATTCTTTCTCACTAACCCTCTCTCAAATCACTGCCCTGCCCTGCCTTTTTCTGCCGCTCGAAAATCGCATTCCGGTGGTAGACCACCATTAAATCACCCACAAACATCACCATACATTCTCCACCACACCCTCATTCCAAATCCACTACTAATTTCTCCAAAATATCCCTAAATCTCTTCAGTTAGAGGATCTAAAAATTAAAGATTCAACCTTTTTCGCCCTTTTCTACAGACTGCCCCAATTCGGCCTTGTTTTTCCCCAAATGTGCACTAAATGATAAGAGTAGAAACAGACTCATCGATTGGTATCATCGTCCCACCAAAGCCCGGTGGTTGGAATTTGTTGACTGCCATTTGACCGGCCAAATTTCCCCTCAATTTCATCTTTTCTTCTCCAAATTCGGCTCGCAATGAGCATTGTTACATGTAGCATTGGCTCGTTGTCAGCCAAGTGATCATGTGACAATGCCCGTTACTGGTCGGAGTTCTTCGACTTGTCGGAATTCATTTGGGCCTGCCGGATTCCACCCTCGTCGATTCGTTCAAGGTTTAAATTAGGTAAAACCTCACTGCTTCACTCTCTATGATTTTTCAATTAATGATTAATTAGGTTCTAGTTTCATTAATCAAGTTTAGTCCTAATTGGAAGTTTATTCGTAATTAACCTGTTCTAATATTATAAGGCTCGTTGGTTTTTATTTAGTTGACCTAATTGAATTAGTTTGATTGCTTTTCAATTCATTCTAATTGTTGAAAAATGTTAGCTTGAGTTTGATTTGTTGGTTGTGGATTCATGAGATTGGGCATGTCTTGTTTGACATGCACGCCTGTAATGACCCGACTTGTCGTTTTAAGAATTAACGCCTCGTTCAATGACTTAAGGTCCTGGGCAACTTCATAATATGTATTATGACCCACGGGTGTGGTCGAGTTTAATTTTCGGAAGATTTAGAATTTAATTGAAAGAGAAATTCTCATTTTGAAGCTTAAATGGAAAGAGTTGACCAAAGATTTGACTTTTGAGCAAACGACCTCGGAATAGAATTTTGATGATGTCAATAGCTTCGTATGGTGATTTCGTACTTAGGCGCGTGTTCGGATTTGGATTTGGAAGTCCGTAGGATAATTCGACGCATTTTGGCGAAAATTGGAAAATAGACGATTTTCGGAAAGTTCGATCGAAGGTTGAATTTTTGATAACGAGGTCAGAATCCGATTCTGGAAATTTGAATAGGTCCGTTATGTCACTTATGACTTGTGTGCAAAATTTGAGGTTAATCGGATTTGATTCGATAGGTTTCGGCATCAAATGTTAAAGTTGAAAATTTCATAATAGACTAAAGTTTCAAGTGAGTCCGCACAAGATCTAACTTCATACGAGCATACCTCTCTTGATATGAAGAGTTATATGGTGTGTTACATATCAAAATAAAGGTCTATGTATCTAGTTTCCAACGCTTTAAACTGTTCGTCATTTGGACATTCCTACAAGAAGTTATGACCAAATTACCAAAGGCTGAAAAATGCAATTCTGCGACCAATTATGCGATCGCAAAACTGCTTCTGCGAC